TAAAGGCGGATAACTCAAGAACCGATTGATGGATCGTCGTGATTTTTGGCATGTAGGTAGCTGAAGTGATGCTTGACATAATAATATTACAATTATGCAAATATTAATGTAATTTGCATAATTAATGAGGAAAATCTATAAATCAGCTGCATTCCATGAAAGGACTATTCAAGCTTGTGTCATATGTAATTAAGAACGGCAGAAATACAGGCAGATATCAATTATGCATCAATTATGCAAATTAGGACTTAATTTGCATAATTAATGAGAAAATGTTATAATTACATAGTGGTAACTGCCTGGAATTTCATACTTGGGATATTTGAAAGCTATGTGAAGGTGAACATAGTTGAACATAATTTATTCAAATAAGGACCTCATTTGCATAATTTATGAGGAAATGCTATAATGGCATTCTTTGATGAGATAAGACTGTCTTTTGGTGTAGAATATGATCAACAGATATAATTGATGCAATATAGGATCCTATTTGCACAATCAGGGGGATTAATCTATAATTTCTCAGTCATAAGGGCTAACATCATTTGGCGAAGGTATGAGATCGTGGAACTCTAGTTAATGATTCTTTCAATATGAATGGAAGGCGTATGTAGATGTACGCGTGAAGGGGGTAGTATGCAAAGCGCCCGCTGTTCGCGCGAAGCAAAACCAACAAGAAATTGAAGATTCCATACCTCCATAAAACATTCAGGGTTTATGTGGATGTTGTCTCCTTTCATATTCACTATTAATCGTCAATCGCTAGTTTTTTCCCAATTGGTAAATATACATGTAGCAGGAAATGAGATAACCTTTCCTGGGACCTTTCTGGAACCTTTGACCTAACTTCCTGTACTTCAGTGTGTTTAGCGTGTGGATATGCCTACAGACAAACCACAGGCAAACACGCAAACACACCGCAATCAAAACCTCCGTCCACGGAGGTAACAGCACGTAGGTAGACTTTCTATGTCATCTTCTGCCAGAAACAATTTACTGAGAAAAGAAGGCCGGTTATATTATTCGACGTTCAAGACCTTTGGTTATTGCGTAAAAATGCTCTATTATCCATCCGAGATTGATAATTTTCGACTACAGTTTATCTAAAGCGCAGAAAGTTCAAGATAAAAAAACGAATATGGTCCAAAGTTTAAGCCTATGATAACTGCATTGATCCTTTAGTCAAACAGCAAGTTGCACTCTTTGTGGTCACTTGTAGGTGAGGGAAGAGGGGTGATCTCTCCCTGTCTTCAGACCGTTTGTCAATGTGACGCCCAGATACAGATGGGTTTTTGTGGTTGCTAAAGCCTGACCACAAAACTGGTAGCTGGTTGCATGTGGTGTTCGTTCGTTTGTTTGTTTGTTTGTTTGTTATGTGCATAATGTATCATTTGTCGGGATTAAACTGCATGAGCCAGGCGACATCCCCATGGCCACATCCACTCCACTTAAACCAAAGCAGGGTAATTCTCAAATGAGGGGTCATAGTCACAAGAGATCCAAAAGTAAACTTCTCCTAGTAAACTGTCAGAGTGTGCGGAACAAAACAGCTGAACTGGCGACAGTACTTGACACTTACAAGCCAGATATAGTAGCAGGTACAGAGTCATGGCTCAATCAAAGTATGTGTTGACAGCCACTCCACACAGTATGTACACATCCTGACAAATAGTTTTACTCGAATGGTTGCGCAGTCTGGCCCCATTGCGAAATACACAAATAAAGATCAGCGCATTCATGCATGGGTATGTTATATTAGGATACATGGATGTGCATACACAGAAAAAACGTACATGTATATTAGTATATAAATACAAGGACGGACATCTTTATTTATGTATAACTGCCTCATAACGTTACCTCATTATACACCCTAATACATATGTGTCACTGAATCATTAAAAGTGTGCATTATCCATTTCTAAAAAAAAAACGACACGAATACGAAAAATTCACCAAAATAAGAAAAAGACAAACGAACAACACCATCATTTGCCTTTTGCTTTCTAGTTATCAACATAGCAAGATTACAATCAGGGTACTTTTACCCCGAACCAGGATGTAATACGTCAGCGAGGTTACGTTATGTATACAGTCACCAGATCGTTGAAGACACGTACATACAGTGAGGGCGAGACAGGGCATTGGGACATCTCATCACCACAGGTAAGAAAAGGCAGTTTAAGATAGTTTTATGTCTTTTAGATGCTCTTGTGTGCAGGTAACTTAATGATAAATCACTCCTTTGTCGTCCCTTTAGGTAATATCGATCGTTTGTCTTTGTTTGAACCGATTCAACTGTCCAACAACCATTTAGAAGGAGAAGTACGTTTCAACCAACCAACCAACCAACCAACCAACCAACCAACCAACCAACCAACCAACCAACCAACCATCCAACCAACCAACCAACCAACCATCCAACCA